CATATGTATTTAGATTACAGTATCCAAGAGTACTTCATTGTAGAATAGTCCCAATCCAAAAATTGGCAACATTTGTCCCATTAGGAAGGAAAAATCCTCCCGTATACCATTTAGGTTCAAAATAAAAAACAAATCATTTGAAAGTCACGCGCAATCTTCGCGAAAACTTCTCGTGGACACATGACAGGGGGGTTGAATATTTTCACGAATATGTTCGCCACCACAGAAACATAACTAAATATATTGTATTTATTGTATTTTTATGATTTATAATAAAAACAATAAATATTTGCGTAGTTTTGTCATAAATCATAAAAATACAATAAATACAATATATTTAGTTATGTTTCTGTGGTGGCGAACATATTCGTGAAAATATTCACCCCCCCTGTCATGTGTCCACGAGAAGTTTTCGCGAAGATTGCGCGTGACTTTCAAATGATTTGTTTTTTATTTTGAACCTAAATGGTATACGGGAGGATTTTTCCTTCCTAATGGGACAAATGTTGCCAATTTTTGGATTGGGACTATTCTACAATGAAGTACTCTTGGATACTGTAATCTAAATACATATGGAAACGAAGAAGTTGCATTTATCAGACAGAGAAGCGGCGAGCCATTAAAATGGCGGCAATTTGGCGGAATATCGAAGGACACAATATCGAAGGTAAAATACACTGCACTGTTACAAAAGTGGATGAAACCTTCTTTGAAATCTTCTTCAGCCATTTATGATTATGTAAAAGTACAATAACTGGATGATATTTGCGAGATTCGGCGATAAAAAGCAAACAAGACGGCAAAATATGGCTGAAATCGTGTTTTCGTGGGGGGTAAGTGAAATAAAATGTATTATATTTAAAGAAAACAATGACAATCCTTATGAAATCAACAATATTTATATTAAATTAAGCATAGTTTTTCACCCCATGATAATTTTTTTTAGGAAATAAGAATATTTAATTTCTGCCAGGCATATTAGTTATTTTGTGCATAATCAGCAATTTACCTGGGGTGGTGCATAGTCATTTTCTGGTAAAATATTATACTTCGACAAATTTTTCCTTCCAATGACCACCCCTAAAAGCAACCCTTCTAAACACTATAAGCACTTCAGAAAGGCTATCGCTTTTCCTTTTCTGGAAGTTAGAGCTATGTCGACACTGCCGTTTCAGGGCGGGGTCATTTTCAGGACTTTCGCCCCGGATTCAGGTTTTCGCACATATGCCATGTTGACCGCCATGGTCATTTTACCCTAAAACATTTGAGATTACCTGTCCTAAATGAATCGCATACAAACTCATATACAGGTCCTAGACTAGAAGTAAATACGGGGTCACCAATGTAGAATTCACACCGTATATAGTATAAAATATCTTTATTTTATCAACACACTTTGTTTACTTTTTACTTCTTTGTTACTATTTAAGTTTATCATAAATTAGTTCTGTCTGACCAAGCCGCTGACCAGGTTATATTTTGTCCCTACACGAGTTATATTAATTGCGAAAGAAACATTAAAATATGTAAATTAACCTACCTGTTTTGGCAGCCATTTTGAAAACCTTGTTATCGGGGCCTGGTAGCTATTAAGACCTAGGCTCCCGTGTTTGTAGCAGTATAAAAATAGCCTATAAAAAGACTAGTTTTTGCCATATTTTGTAAAATAGAGTAAAAAAGTAAAAAGCAAATAAGTGTGGTTATATTCAATTCATTTTCAAACATCGTTTTGAACGTTAGTGAAAGCAGGCAAGTACTTTACACAATTTTAACAAGGTGAAATCACCCCAAAGACGTTACGGTTAACCATTGGTATTTCGATACATAGTTTCCCGAGAGATATTTTTAAAAGGTTCATGTCAAAGCAATGAGACACGGGCTTGGAAAAATAAAGGATAATAAATATTTAACTAGTCCCGTTTTCAAACCTTATAATGTATTAATCTTGTCACTTACCAATACATTGCATTTAAAATGTCATGATACGACATGATAGCCGGGTATCCGAACTTGTTACCTGCTTTTTTCGAACTCTCCATACAATAAATGTTATTAAAATTGCAACGATTTTTGGTCCCTTTTTGAGAGACTCAAAACGACTTATTTGTTGCGAATCCCATGGACTAATCTGGTTGATGTAGATAATTTGACTTCCTAATAGAGGGAATGTTTTTGTGGGGTTGTAAAACAGCCTTTCATGTAGTCTAAGACAGCCCAGTTGTCTACCTTGCTGCTATTGCTAATTATATACTCAACCCACTCTCATCCTCAGAGGTTTCAATGAGCTTTACATGGTGCTTACCGTATCGAACCGTTATGAGGAAGTGAAACCTCTGCCAGAAGTAGGTCGAAAACGTGCTAAATTGGTAGAAAAAGTGCTAGAACTTGAATATTACTCTAAATTATTTTGAGCAATTGACACAAACTTTTCAGCAAAGGTGTATGTAAGGATGCTCAAAATAATGTTAAAATTATCGTTCTCCATGTGATTTGAAGACTTTAAACTGTTTTCGATTATCTGCGCCCTGTTCGGGGGGGGGCGTATATGTTTATCAATAGCAAATATGGAGAATTCTGAAGACACGTTCGAAGAGTCAGTATTTAACGTATCATTTGATGAGCTTTCCATTGACGGTTAGTGTCAAAAAAGTTATATCTACTAAATTAAAAATTTCTCACAAACTCCTCCCGCATTTTGAACCGATTGGGCGTGACTTCTGGCAGAGGTTTCCAGCTTTCTTCGATAACACTGAAACCTCTGCGGAGGAGAGAGAACTCAACCAAAGATAAATATTTACCCAAAAATTATTAGTGACTTGAGCTGTGACTTGTAATGCGGCTAAAATTATGTTCCTTCCAGACAATGATAATTGAGAAATAAACATTCCAAACAATAAATATGAAATTATAAAGTCACACACAAAGGTTTCAAGATACTGTGTATAATTTCATTCACTGACTGTATTTTAAACTACGTACATAGAGAAACCAACTGTCGAGAATTATGCATAGTTTGTTAAAGGACACTATAGTTAATCTTATATGACTTTTAAGCGTAGTATTTGCTTGCGCATGCGCGTGAGTGCTCGCCTTACGAACACGTTTTAGATTCGTAACATTCATATAAAACGACCGTTTTGGACCATAGTTTTGGGACTTTATGTTAGTTATGTCTTGTATTAAGATGTCAAATATATTCATATAAACAATCCACATTTTGGTGCCGTGACCAGTTGTATTATGGAAGAATTACAAAGACTTCGAGCGTCCCGAAAAGCTTATCGAGCACACCTCACAACACTTTACAAGAAGATTATAGAATTGAAATCCGCCACGACTATCGATGAACTTCACATTGCCACGCTCGAAAACTACTGTCAACAACTCAAAAGAAAGAAAGACATCTTATCACCACTCGATGAACAAATTGCGAAAGCTATCACCAAACCCGAAGACCTTGAATGTGAGATTTTTGAAACGGAAGAAATGCACAGCACAATCGACGAAAGGTACAGTGAACTTACCACATTTATTGAGATAAAACGTAACGAATTAAAGCTTAAAGTTACTGTACAATCATCCAATAACACTAATGAGTCATCCCCAGAAACCTCACCCCAATCAGAACAGCCTATTCAACAGGAAAATATCCATCAACCAGAAATGAGTCAAAGCCCAGTTGGACCCAATTCCCAAACAGAGGAAACCTCAGCTTCCAACAACACTATTCAAAATCAAACCCTGATAAATAACAATAACAATGGTGCCAGTGCCAGTGGTTCTTATCCATCAGTTAGTCGACTGCCAAAGTTATCCCTCCCTACATTTTCTGGGGACCCCATTGCCTGGCAAAACTTCTGGGACTCGTTTAAGACAACCATCCATTTAAACCACACACTGCATGATGTTCAAAAATTCAACTATCTAAAGGCTCAACTTACAGGTGATGCAGCTCGAGTTATAGCAGGTTTCCCTATCACAAGTGCCAATTACAAACATTCAATTGATCTCCTAATTGAGCGTTTTGGTCAACAACAAAAGATTGTCAATGCACACATGCAACGTTTGCTTGACCTACCCAAACCCGACACAGGGCTCATAAGTCTTCAGCTTTTCTACGACACAATAGAGAACCACATCCGAGGCCTTGCCTCACTTGGCCAGTCAAAAGATTCCTATGGGGCCCTTCTTATACCAATAATTTTGGGGAAATTACCAGCTGAAGTTAGGCGAAACTTAGCCCGAGAACATCACACCTTAGAATGGTCAATTGACCAACTGCGAGATGCCCTCCTTAAAGAAATCAAGATCCTTGAAGCTGGTCTGCACATAGACAAAACTAAATCAGAGCTTAGTCCTGCCCACACTGCTACAGCTGCATTTCATACTGGTTCAGGGGGGGACAACAATACTCAGAAAATAAATCAAGGTGACAAGACCCCACACTGTGCATACTGTAAGGGTACACATTCCTCACTTCGGTGCGAAGTAGTGACTGATCCAGAAAAACGATTAACGATTATTAAACAAGCAAACTTGTGTTTTAATTGCCTTGGACACCACAAGGTGTCACAGTGTCGATCCAAATATCGTTGCAGAACATGTACACGCAAACATCACACCAGCTTGTGCAAACCTCAGAAAGCACCCATCAAAGATCCCCCAGAACAGGCAAACAAGGAACAAGGGGAAAAATCTGTCCACACCACACTAATCCCTGCGGCCCCAACATCAATCGTAAACACTCAAGGAAACGAAACTACTATTTGTTTACTGAAAACCGCTATTAGTACTGTCTCCTTAGCTAACCAAAGAGCTGTTGCAAACATTTTGTTTGACGAGGGAGCCCAGTGCTCTTTTATCACCCGTGAATTAGACGACAAGCTTCACGCATGTCCCCAACAAACTAAAGATATCCAGATTTCAACATTTGGGGGAGAACAACCAACCAGTCACACATTAGAAACCGTTACCATCAACATCGAAAGCATCACAAGTGAGAAAATACCAGTTAGTGTTTTGGTCGTTCCAAAGATTGCCACACCTTTGCAAAATCGTATTCGCACCAATGTCCGGACTCTCCCATACCTAAAGGGAATC